GCCTGCCTCCACATTGGGCATTCGGGTGCTGGCTGCATGCTGCGTAAGCGCTGCCGCGCTGTAGCTCGTGCCACTCACGCGCTCACGGGCGAGCAGGAAGGAGCAGGCAGCCATAGCCGAGCTGCGCTGCTGTAAGCTGGGTGTGGCGCAGGGCGGTCCTTAGGTGCAAGTGGAATCTGTGTGTTGGGGAACGAGGTTGTGAGTAAGGCGAAACACACTCTCACGCGCAGGCACAGACACACTTACACTTACACACACACACTTACAAACACACACACACACACACACACACACACACTTGCAAACACACACATACACACACACACTTACAAACACACACATATACACACACACACTTACAAACACACACATACACAAACACACACATATACATACATACACACACTCTGACGGCAGGTACACACATACACAGATACGAGCACACACAACACACCTACACACACCTAACTGGGGCGTTGGGGGTTGGGGGATGTGGGGGCGGATGGGAGGTGCTTCAGGGGTTGGGGGGATTTTTTTATTATTTTTTTAATAATTATTATTGTTTTATTTTGCCGAGGGCCACGTGTTCCGGACCCCGCGGATCAATTCCGTTTTTCCGAAAAGCGCGGGAGCGGCCCATTTTCTCGTTTAACGCGATTTCAACGGGATTTTTTGGAGTTTAACGGGATTCAACGAGAGTTTAATTCCCCCGTTCTGCGTTAAAAAGATACACAACCCGCCGGGCAGAAGTCTGGACGAACCTTTTGTTGCTACGGAGGCTGTCAGGAGACTCGCTGTGAGAACTTACCAAAGCCGAGCGGCGGAGAGTCATGGAGCGGGCGCAGGACTATCGCTGGCAGGGACCGACGTTACAAAAACGGAGGGTCTAGCTGGTTGACGGTTCCACACCCTCTCGCTAGGTTCGATTGGACACGAGCCGCTCATGAAGAGGATGCGGTCCATTTCGCGGTCAAGTACACGGAAAAAGCCATCGAAAAGAACGGATGGTACTGGTCGGGAATTCGGGAAGATGTGAAATACACCGCCCAGAATTGCCCGGCCTGCGCGGCGGACAAGGCACCGGTACAGATGCCTTGGACGATGGTGCTTACTCGTGTAGAGCGCCCCTTTCAAAGGGTTAGCATCGACACGATGAATATCAACCTTCCGAGAGGTCCCGTCGATCAGGGAGAGCTCAATGTTCTTTTAGTGGTCGTCGATCATTTTTCAAAACGGATCGAGGCGTACCCTATGACCAGCCGGAATTTGCAGGAGGTAGTCTGGTACGTAAATCGATTTTTGTGCATGCATCTAGACGTAGAAGAGGTACACATGGACAATGGGTCGGAATTTCAAGGCGAAGTAGAACGTCACCTAGTCAGGGCAAACGTTAAGATTATCTACTCGCCGGGGCATTGGCCCCAAGCCAACGGCCTAGTAGAGAATGCCAACCGACTGATTAAGACCGCCCTTAGATGGAATATCACGGCGGGAGACACCCGACCCTGGCCTGTCATTGTCGACCACATCTTGGCCGTTTATCGGGCTACCCCACACGGTAGTACTGGGGTGTCCCCCTTTCAACTGAGAACCAATAGTGTCCCTCGAGTGCAGTTGTCCGCCTTGGTAGGTACGGAAGTTAGAGCAACACGGGCCCAGCACAGAGATAAGGCCCGCCAGTATATGAACTTAATGGCTAGGGCCTATCCCTCGTTAGCGCGCCGGCGACAACGGGCCGTAGATCGGACACATCAACGGCAGATCCGTGACTACGAAAATCGACATGCGTCCGCGGGACCACTGCCTTGCTATAAAATAGGGGACTTGGTGTAGGTACGGAAATCCGCGCGCTCCTCCAAAATCCACCCACGCTACACAGGCATTTACGAGGTGACAGAAGTTGGCGCACGAGGCCAGCACTCCGCGAAGCTGGTTCCCAGGCACAACTCGCAGGGCCGCCCGCTGACAAGGCACATTGCTGCCCTCCAGCCTTTTCGGCCATCGCTAGACCTCGTGCGACCACCTCTCCTACCCGAATCACCTTCTTCGTCCCTCTCTCGTGCTCCTTCGTCCTCGCCTCCTCCTTCCCCTTCTCTCCGATCAGCGTCGTCGGCATCCGAGGAAGACCTTGCCTCGCAGGATGAACCATCGCAAACAGGAGCATGAACTGCTCGAGCACTTCGAGCCACCAATCTCGGATGCTCTTCTCCGGAACCGGTTCAACGACGATCGGAAACTGTGCTTCAACATTCAGCAAGTGAACGTGCCGGCTCCTAGCGTTCGTAACTTAGCGGTGTACTCACTCCTCGCGCAGCGGGTAACGTACGCGGGCGTCTATGTGGACATATCGCCCGTGCCTGGTCAGGAATCCACGCGAGTGTTCATCGAGCTCCCATCCATCCAGGTGGCTACGAACTTTGTGCACAACATCGCTACTTTCACCGGGGAGTTAACCGTCTTGCCCGGGCACGATCGGGAGCCGGCGTACAGGTTCTTGCGCGATTACACCCTCCAGGTGGCGAGATCGGTGGCGCGAGTGCAGGCAAGGGGCACTCATCGCTTCACCGCATACGAAGGACTTCTGCGGCGGACTCCGGAGGGAGCACTTGCATTGGTGCCGCAGCTTCCCGGCTCCTTCCTCCCACCGAGCCCCTCAACATCCAAGTTGTCCCTCCCCCTTCTCTCTAAATGCCTCCCTTCCTCTCTTACACTACCCTCCCTTACCAAGTGACACAACTCCCATATCCTATGCGCAACTTCCCCGAGTACTTGGTGGAGCTTACGGACGTGGAGCAGTTGCCGCCCCCTGACGAGGACGCATGGGAGCTGCATCGGGTGCTTTATTTGTCGGTGGTGCTGGGCATGCTTACATTTTTCGTGGAGCACGAAGTTCATAACGTCGGCGAGCTCCTCTACGTATACTACGTGATCGCCAAGCCGAAGCCGGAGTGGAAGGAGGGAACGGTGGCTCTTTACCCTTTTGGGAGGATCGAAACGAATCGCCCGGGGCTCTTACAGCTCATTCACATCGAGTTGCTGTCCATCCCGCAGGTAATCGTCGCGGAAGAAGAAGACTTGCAGCTCAGACTGCGGACCGCCTCAGCCCTGTGCAGATCGTATAACGCGCCGGTGATACCTGACTACCTGTCGCGTGAGGGGGAGTTCGTGGTGGACTTCGGGCATGAAGATAAGCCGTTGCGGCCTCCATCATCGTATCCAAAGTCGGCGGCCCTGAAGGCACCGAGAAAGAGAATTGTCCTGAAGCGACGACGAAGTCCATCGCCGAAAGCTCAGACCAGTCGAGTGGAGCCTGTCGAGGAGGTCGTCCACCCTGCGCCGGTGCGCGAAGTCGATCCGGTTCGCGAGAGAAGAGCCACGCTCATCATCGGGCCCCGACTGGGGGAGGACTGCCCCGCCGAAGAACCGCGGAGATCCACAGGCCATCGGGAATCAACACCTCAGCGGCCACGCCTCCCCGATCTCAATAGCCATGCAGCCGGGCCATCAGCCGCAGGGGGGGGATTGGGACGAGTTCCATATCCCGCATCAAGACCCCCCCTCTGCAGGACCGTTCCGATTTCGCCATCCCACCCGGGATACCCCGGTCATTGGCATTAGCAGTTCCCCCGAGGCGGACGGTCCATCAAACCGACGTGGATCACATGGTGGAACTGGCCACCATCCGGCTTGAGGCCATTGAGGGGGCGCCGCGTCCTGATCCGGCATGGGAGGCGTTCTTGCAGCCTCCATTCGACAGATGTATAGCGGCGAGGTTGGTGGGCACGCTCATCTACGAGACCGGCGGGCGGCCCAACATTATGTACCATATCCTTGTCTTCGCGGCGGTTAAGCGGGAGCGGAGGCCATGCACGGAGACCCATCTGGTGCTGACGGGTCCGAGAAATCAGCCGCTGCGACGACGAATCATTCGCGCGATCACCGATCTCGCGCCCCGGGTCCTCTCACATGTGCCGGGGGCTTTCCTCTACCCCTCCTTTGTCCAGCACCACTTCAATGAAGTGGAAGTGCCAGCCAACTTGGCCGCGCTCGCGGCGTTTCTCCCTCCTCTCCCCCCCCCTCTCAATCCGGAGATTGATTACTTCCTATGATCATCTCCACCACCACCACCTCTTTCTTTTTCTTCTTCTTTTCCGGATCTAAAGCTCGCGCGATGATACGCGCTGTATATATAATAAAAAATATATATATATATATATTTTTACTTACTGATCGGGCCAGCTGACGATGAAGGGGCCGACCGATCGAATGTATACTATGGGAGGAGGCGATGGGGGATGCAGGATGCATCCACGTAGACAAGGAAGATGATCGGGCCAAGTGACGATGAAGAGGCCGCCCGATCATCCAAGATATGATGACATCAGCAGTCGGGAGACTGGTAATTTTTCGGAACCCCCTGCGTATCACAAATGTGATAAGCTCAGATCCATACCGCGCGGCTTCCCATATCCCTGAGGAAAAATCCCACGGAAGCCCCGAAGTACGGACAAGGACAGAAAGGGGTTTTTCTTTCTTTCTGCTTTTGTTTTCTTTTTGAAACAGCTTTTTCATTTTGTTTGGTTCATAACTCCCGCGCGGGCAAATAGCGGCCGCGGTATGAAAACCAAGAAACGGGGGCGGTTGGGACTTTTTGAATTTTTGTGCACGCACGCCCAAGCTCCGATTTCTTCACTCGTCTCGCATCCTCGTTTCTTGCTTTGCATCCCCGCGCCATCTTCCCTTCTTGCTGCGCGCATTTTCCCCATGTCGGACTCTTCGTCTTCCCCTCCGCCCAGCTCGATCCTATCCCCGCGAAGCGATTGGCCGCGTAGTTGGGATGCTCGGATCAATGTGGAGAGCGAGAAACCGCGCGCCACTTGAACGGACACCCCAATCACGTAGGACCATGCCATCCCTCTAACTCCCCACCTTCCTCCTGTTCTGCTCATCTACAACCTGCGCTGCCCACACCTCGCGCTGACAACCTGCCGCCTCCCGCGCTATAAATTCGCGCAACCCTCTCCTCTCTTCCTCTTTGATCTCGACTGCAATGCTGCGTGAGCCATGCGCGAGAGTCCGCGGCGCCGAACAGGCTCGACGAGCCCAAGGACGGGCAGAGTGACGACGTGGGGTGGACCCTCGGTAGTGTCGGGACGAAGCAGTCGAAGGGACTGAGCAGTGGTGGGGATTGGACGCCGGCCACGGCAGGGCCTTGTGGCTATGGTGGTCGGTGGTCTTGGGTGGTTTGAAGGCTGCGCCTGGGGGCGGCAGTTAATTGCAATTTTTGTGTACAAGAAGGACTCGCTTTTATCTCCATTGCTGCTTTGTCTATGCATGTTGTGTGTGTGAAGTCCCGAGTGATGGGAGCTGGTTGTGCGCATCAGCGGTGTCGAAGGTCTATGGATGATTAGATGTCCTGTCAAGGGTTGTTGATTGTTTGCATGCATGCGTGTATGTTCTTGTCCGGGTGGGGACGGGGAAACTGAACTGGGGGACCGTCTGCCTCGGAGTACGAGTGTGTTAATCCCGTTGTTCCCCTCCCTTCCGCGGCCCTGCGCACGCGCGTGCGTTCTCAGTGTAAGCTCTCTCTCTCTCTC